TTTCACTTTAGATACTAGTTTGCAAGCAAATTTTGGTTCTAGTTGATTATACAAATTTATCCTTATTCACACAAAACTGACTATCCTTAATTACTTCCATGTTGATAAAGATTTAAATTAAGCAAAGCTAGCATTATGAAATGTAATTTGAATTTGTGTTTAGATAGATAAAGTAAGGGAGAAGAAAGCATAGTCTAAGACTAAAAGAGAAAACAAAAGGTAGTGTTGGATTTGCATGCACCCAAATGCATAAGAAAAAGAATGGGGCAGATCTAAACCGACCAATGGAAACATGTCCGTGTTTCAACGAAATTCAAGACGAAAAGGACCATTCAATTCAGCAAAATCAATGTGGCTTCTTTCTTTCGGTGTAATGTACACATCACGCGGTTGTGTTCAATTCTCCCTTTCCCTCCCATGGATACTACCATCCATGCATGCAGGCCCTGATTTAGAAATTGACTATTGAGGGATCCTAATACTTTTTAATTTCCTTCTTTTTATCGCAATTTTGTTTTTAACTTTCAACCGTAATATACATATGGTTGCATATCTCATAAAAATATACGTATAGTTGATATAATTTATATAAGGAGACCGATTTTTATTTTATTAAATTAATTTTATAATGTTAAATTAAATTTATAATTTATTTTCTAAGATGATGTCAAAATTTATCTTAGTAATAATTGATTGTTGTTGAATTTATCAGATCATTATTGGATTATCCATAAATATCTTATCTTGTAACTTCATATTTAATATGTCTGACTAAAAGTGTGAAGGAAGTATGCTAAAAACCACACATCAACTATTAATATGATCAATATTAGGATTTATAATTAAAAAACAATTTCACTTTATAAATTAGTTTTATAACTCGTAACTAAGCTCAGAAATAAGTCAAAACAAACTCTAAAAAACCTAAACCTATCTTGTAACATATTAACTAAGCCCAATTCAAGTTTGTTACTTATTATAGGCCTTTTTTTTTTACTTAGCCTAACTTATCTTAAACATCGACTTAACCTAAAAGCCTATTTATATAATATTTTTTAACTTATCTCGACTTATCTAAAATCTTGATTTAATCTAAAGTCTATTTATATAGTTCGCCTTATATAAAATTTATAAACAAGTCAATAGGGTTATAGGCTTAAGTAAGCCAATAGACTTGTAGGTTTAAGTGGTCCAATAAGTCTTGTTAATCATCTAAATTGTTTATAAATAATAATAATTTATTAAAAATTAAAAAATCATTATACCTATATTAAAAGGTATTCATATGATATGACTAATTTCAAATCAATAGACAACACAATTGGACAATTGGACATTGTCAAATATTTTTTTTAAAAGCAACACAAATTTATACTTTAACACATAATACAACACAAAGACCACAATAAAGTCAGAACTTACGAGTTCCAAGCCACACATTATAAATAAAACTTCTTAATTACTAAATAACCTGATATAATATTACAATTTTTTATTGATAATTATCTATTAAATATAAATACAAAAAATATATATATATATATATTATAAATATACACTATATAATATTATTATATATATAGGCTAACTTATGAGGCCTAATAAAAATTTATTGAAACTTAAAGTTTGACCTATTTAATTAAACAACTTTTTAAAAAATATAAATTTATTGACCTTTTTAATAAACGGGTCAGACTATATAAATTTCTGACTATCATCTTTTAATTAAAAAAAAATTTCTTAATAAACATGCTAGATTATAGACTACTGATAGGTCACTTATCTTACTTTCATCTCTACTCATAACCCACTTTTTAAGGCATATATACTTCTTGTTTTCATTTTTATTTTTTCTCAAAATTTCAGTCAATTATGTATAATTAATTCAAGATAAATATATGAAATTTAAATTGTCACCTAGTTACTAAGAAAGTCCCGTATACTTAATAGATTATGAAATTTCTTAACTATGTAAAATATTTTTAGTCAGAAAAATAGAGTATAAACATAAATATATGTAATTATTTATATATATTAAATTTTAATTATTCAAATGTTAAATTAAAAATTGTTATTATTAGTCCTAGAGATGATGAATTCAATTTTTTTAAGCAAATGATTAGGATTGATTCTGGATTCTTATGTGTAGAAAAAACCTGGTTAAAAGGGACAACTCACCTTTGAATAACTTTAGATTCCTAGTTGATTGATCATAATGGACAATTAGGATACTCCTTGAAATCATATGTGTATCAAAGAAAAATCTTAAAATACAAAAAAAGAAGAAAGTGCAAACTTTTTAATTCTAACTTATGAAATGGTGATTTTTTAAGGGATACATAAATATGAGATAGGTAAATAAAAAGAAGATGACAAGTTACTTCAAAATCGTATTGCTAATACATGGTGGATGAGTTGAAGTCTAGACAATCTGTGTGGAATATGCCTGACACAATAATAAAAAAAAGCATAAATAAAAAGTAGAAAGGGACCACGGAAGCAACATAAATGAATGAAAATTAAACATGATATGCAATAAATATATACGAAAAAAGTGCAAAGGGTTGGGAGGCCCCTTAAGCATTTGTTCTTGCTACCAAATTTTCTTTACTGGTATGGTCTGGTCTGGTCTTGTTCACTTCTGTCCTTATTAGTTCCTCTGAAACCCTACGTTACATCTTTGTCACACAAACACGCACTTTCTCTCTCTTTCTGATCACAGTGAATAATGTACGGTTAGTGTGCCTCTCACAGAACTGTTTGCTGAAGTTTCATGCATAGGTACTGTGTGTCTTTTGTGAATCATATCAGACGAGTGGAATGGAGTTGCATGAGAGAGGGGATGAGTTTGAGAAGTGTGATTATGCGCTGTTGAGTATATATAATCTGCAATACAATACAAAACTAAAAATGAAATGATCTCTTGTCTCAAAAAAATCTGTGCCTGCAGAAAAGGGTGGTGATAAGTGTGAAATGGATAGTATAGCATAGCATAGGTAGTATAGGGCAATAGGGGTCTTATGTGAAACCTAGGGGCCTTAGGGTTCAGCTTGAGGTTGAAAGGGTTCACTCTTTAGCCTGTGTGTGTGGTCACTAGATCAGTAGAGTGCATGTAGGTCATGCTGTCCGGGAGTGCCAACAAGAATGTTTTGGTTCTTCTGACTCACTTCCTCTTGCTCTCTCTGTGTGGTCATCTGCCACGGTGCCCTCATAACCAATCATACCTCCTCATTCAAATACTGCATCTACCTGTCTCTTTTTCTTTTTCTTTTTAATATATATATATATAT